TATGGAGGTTATGAAGAATGGCCGTCCTTCCGGGACATGTTTACAGACGTTTACATCAACCATCCAGAAGTATAAAAACCACAAAAATTGTATCACTACCGATACAATACTAAAGGTCAAGCAGGCTTAATAGTAAGACAGTTCGCTCTTAATGACGATAATTTCAATTTGGCTTGGGAAGCTCTAAAAGCTAGATATGAAAACGAACGAATACTGGTCGATAAACAAGTAAAGACACTTTTAAACTTGAATAAAATCAAGAAAGAAACAAATGAAGTAATTGTAACACTACAATCCACTGTTTCTAATTGTTTGTCGATTTTGTCAACACAAAATATTCCCACAGACAGCTGGGATCCAATTCTGGTAAACATTTGCACCGCCGCATTACCAGAAAAGTCGTTACTTCTATGGGAGCAATCGCTCTCATCACGGAAAAAATGCCCAACGTGGCAACAAATGAAATATTTTCTCACCACCCAATATGAAATTGCAGAAAGGGTAGAGGAAAAAATTTACAAAACTAAGAAAATTAAACGAGATAAAAATATAAGCTTAAATAGACCCCAAGTTAGTAGCAAAACCAATTTAACAAAAAGCTTTCAAAAAACCCTCTCGTTCATATCCGAAGAGAAAAAACAAAGGTAATGCGAACTATGCACAAGAGGGCATAAACTTATATCTTGCGAGATGTTTAAAAACTAAATATTAACGAAAGGAACAACTTTGTCAGATCAAAAAGACTCTGTACAAACTGCTTGTCCAATGCACACCATCTTAAAAATTGCAAAAGCAAATTTAATTGCACATATTGTCACAGAAGGCACAACTCCATGCTTCATTGCAGCAGATATATTCTTTCTCATCCCAAAGAAGTGCTTACACAAAAAGAACCACGGATTGAATTGCAAAAGCAAATCCCGAAAATCAAAATTCTAAAACTTGCCAAGAGACACCATGTTGCTCAAAGTTACAGAACTAGTTACCACCATACCAACTCAAGTTGAGAAAAAATCAAATTAATACCTTAATTCAAAATTAAAGAAATTTCAAGAGATAGGGAAACTTCCACGAATATCAAATAAAACTCTAGAGGATCAGTATTGTAAGCGCTACTCGAAAGTCGCAACTACTCCATCAAATAATGGCCGGTACGTCGTACGACTACCACTAGAGCCACAATTTTCCAATACTCCACAAATTGGTATAAAAAACAAAGTCAGATTTACCTCTGACAGTCCATATAATAAAAAACATATAAATTTTCGGCACCGCAGGATGGCTTTCGCCAATAATGGGAAAAAAAAAAAAAAATCTGAACAAATCCAAGAGCGGTGGCGCACTACTACTTGTCAAATTAGTGCATACGCATTTAAATATTACATACACAAAATTTTACAAAAATCGAAAAATCGGCACATATCATAAAAGAAGGGACAACTCAAACTTAACGTTAAGAGATCGCACCTACGCTTTCAAAGTCAATGGTCCCTCTTATCGCATCTATTCAAGATCGCCTCGTATGAGTAGGTTAAGGGAATCAGCTGCATAAAGCTTCAAATTAATTATGAAGAATTCTCTTCTCTTCAAACCAAAATCCGTTCTCTACACACGGATAAATATGAATATATTACAACTCCATCAAGAAATACTTCTGCTGTCTGAACGTATTCCGCGCTTCGGCTACTCCACCAGTAGTACATTGAAATACATACTTATACGTATAATACTAGGCAAAATATTCGTCTAGGGGGCCCAGGATGTTTAAAAGAGTTACGCATCCACCCCCTCTACCTGGTAGAATTGCTGCACCCTAAAGCAACAGCGCACTTCACCACAGCTGATGACACTAAAGCACAACTCAAACCCACTAATCAAAAAGGATGGATAACAGGATAGAAATTCAATTGGTTCTAAGAAATTCGATCTATACAAGCCGCGCATTGAGGTATGGCCTCTGAGAACAGTAGTGGAGGCAAACCCGAGAATCCATTTAAAAGGAACTCAAAAATTATGAGAACACCTCCTAACGGAAAAAATGAGATATCCACCGCTGCTGGATCAAAAAGAGAAAGCGAAAATGCCAACCACATATTTGAAGGCGGCAAGCCCTCTGAAAAAATGCAAAGCAGTGAAGCTACCCAAAACTTTAACCAGTTGGGTAGTAAAATAAAAGAATTGGAGAACATGATGGCTGGCCAAAGGCACATAAACCAGGCTATGCGCGACCTGGTAAGCAATATAGWGGCGCTACATGCTAAGGCTGATAAAGGCGTAAAAAAACTTACCCAAAAGAATTATGGTAGGGAAATCATCCAGGTTTCCCCAATGGGTAAGGAGGTAAATACCCCGAAAAGGCTCCGTGAGACAACAAGCTTTTTACCTCCCACTAAAAAGCCAAAAAATGTAAACAAAATGGAGCAACCCACCTACAGCGGGGCAGCGAAATCAATGCAAGCCAATACAACGGTTAGACCCAACGAAAGCGAAGCTTGGGTGGATGTTGTTAAGAAGCGAAGACCACTCGAAAAGAAAATTAGATCGAGGCCAGAAGCCATTATATATACGCGGATATTCTCCGGAAAATAAAAGGCGAAAGTGGCTTAGAGGAATTGGGCTCAAGCGTAACGTATATAAGAAAGACATTGAAAGGAGACCTGCTTTTACAGCTGAAAAACCAAGCGGATAAAAGCGCCGAATCGTTCCAAAGTGCATTAGAAGGAGTGGTCGGGGAAATGGCTGTGATACAGCCAAAAACTCACAACGTCATGATTATGTGCAAGGATTTAGACGAAATAATTTCTCCAGAAGAAATTTGCGAAGCTTTGCAAAAAGAGTGCGGAATACAAATAAACATTAAAAGCATACGAAAGACTCGAAGCGGAACACAAATAGCTACCTTATGCCTGCGCGCCCAGGACGCCAASACTGCGCTCAAGGTAGGCAAAATTAAGATCGGGTGGTCTGTATGTCGYCTCCGGGAATACTCCCCTATTCGCCGATGCT